ATCAAAATTCGTTACCATTGTGACATTATTGTCCTTCCATTGTAATATTGTAATCTCCTTATTTTTGTAAAATCGATCATTATATACTTCTCTAGAACTGTTTATCTTAATTTCTTTTACGGATATATTTGGGAACCTAGTAGCTCATTAACCCAATCGCTTTAGATCGCAAGTGGTAGTTTGTAAACAAATTATCAAAGTATACGATTTGTTCCGTTGGTAATAAGTGGTGAAACCCGTCTCCAAAATGGTTCTCGAAATTACTTTTCGACCTTTTTACGCTTCGCAAAACGTGAAAGAAGTCATAATCACTTTGATCCAACCTAAATTTTTCCCGTCACATCATTAAGCATGGTGGTGCATACCAATCATTTTTATTTATCTCCTCTTCATTACTTGCAATTGCAGTGTCAGGAGGGATAACCAATATAACAAACTCAGAGCCATCGTAGTTGTTCTCCATTATCCAATCGATGGCCTCCTGAAGTTGTAAAAAGTATTTTTTACCCTAAACACCTTATGGTGTGCCATAGTTCTGCATTCGAAAACACCTGTTACATGTCGGAAAAATTTAATGTATATGCCCATTGTCCCCAAGTGGGGACACCACTATAAAACTATATCTTTTTAATTCCTTTTTGATTTTTTTCAACACAATACGACCTCTAAAAGCTTGTACACACTCCACCTAATATTACAGCTAAAGTATTTAATTTTAGCTTAACAATATACTCAAAAAATATATATAAATACCCCAGAAGAATTGGCTCAACGAAATGTCTAACTTCGAAGCGCTGAAACTACACCTTTTTGGGCACAAATACCATGTGTTTGTGTTTACGTAGTATACTTTAGCTATCTTTATGTCCTAATTGAACTAACATTATGAGTTGACGGTGTTTAAGACACAGATTTCGGTAGATGAAGTGCTGTCCTCGCATGGGGACAGTGAGCGGTAATGGGCGAATGCGAATGTTAAAATTTATGCGGAAGTTCCGCGGTTGCGAATGCGAATGCGAATATTCGCAACAACCCTGGTACGTAAGCATGTATGTAATGTAATTTTTCCTTTTTAAAAGCAAGTATAGGATGCAGAAGAGCTCGTTTAAGTTAACACATTTGTACATATATGTACATGTAGATACAGGCAGTCAATAAAGTTTAGGTACAGCGAATTTTTTACAATACGGGCAACTATTTTTTAAATATTTTATTTTTCGCTAGTTTTTTATAAAAATATGGTTAATCCTACAACAAAAACCCCAAAAATCAGAGTTCCAAACCTTGTGCAAAATTAAAGAAAATTCCGCAAAGTTGCATTCAAATATTCCACTTTTTATTAACGCTCTCTAGAAAAAAGTTGAGTATGCAGTTTTTTAGCCCATTCTATAATAAAGTGCAAGTATGAGGAAGCTAGGACATACCATGATTTTTGGGAAATTTGCTAAAAATCAATGGTAAGTCCTAGCTACCTCAAACTTGTACTTTGAATGGGCTAAAAAACTGCGTACTCAACTTTTTTCTAAAGTGTAAATAAAAAGTGCGATATTTGTATGAAAACTTGCAGAATTTTCTTTACTTTTGCATAAGGTTTGGAACTATGATTTGATATTTTTATAAAAAATTTGCGAAAAATAAAATATTTAAAAAATAGTTGCCGGTATTGTAAAATATTCGCTGTACCTAAACTTTATTGACTGACTGTATGTATCCAATTAATGTCTAAGTGAGGCCCCCTGGTGGGGTCTGCCACAACAACCTAACCTAACCTAACCTGACTGTATGTACATGTAGAAAAAATGTTCAGATGGTTGGAACGAAAGTAAGAATATGCACAAATATTTATGTATAACTATTATGGTGGTAATGTTTTACATATATATTTATGTATATACATACATAGAAATGTAGATACGTGTAGTTAAAATATATTCCAAGCGCACACTTTTCAGTATAATGGAATATCAGCATGTTATTTTATTCCTTAATAATATTTTATTATAATAAGGATAATAAATGAAACGTACTTAAAATTGAACAATGAGTAAAGTGGAGGTCTGGTGAAGTCGGAAAATGCTGGGACCGAAAATAAGTTATTTTTTAACAGTCAAACTTGTCCGAAATGGAAGTCATTTCCTGATAATATATAAACCGCTTATCCCAATTAGGTATAAAGTGAAAGAGGACAGAAATAGCTTTTACATAGAAATAACACTGAAGGTTACCAACTCTATTTGTATTTTTTTATAATTTTATACAAAAGAAATGTGTTAAAGCCTGTTCCTTTAGAAAAAAATTAAGCTTGCAATGAAGAAAATCAATCAAGAAATCGCAAGGATTTTTGCAGAAAAGTGTTACTCATACGCCATGTACACCTGAGTAGGTAGAGTGATGGAAGCACGTCCAGTATTTACAACACTTTGAAGTTTGCTCTGTTGCAGTCCGAGTTATATTCCCGGAGATTGTTGTTGGACGAGGAATCAAATCGTCAACATCTAAGTGCTCTACAAACTTGTGCCCGATTGTAATAAGGTCTCGCGCTACATACTTTAACCATTTAAAGTTGCAAAAGGTCCTGCTATCGTCCAATTTACACACGTTTGTAAGAAATCTATGCAAAAAAAGTTATGTACAAAAAGCTTACATAGCACTTTTTATTGTGTTTACCCTGTTTTGTTCTTGTCGTACTTGTACGAGGGGAATGGCTTTAGCTTTCCTTATGAAGCATTTGTGACGGCGTCAGTTAGCAGTTAGTGTTCCGCTATGCCGCACAATAGCGTGGCATTCACGGCACATACAAATTGGTTATTAGTGCATCCAATATCATCTTCTTTTTCACAAAAAACAACCAAACTTCACTACGACCTTTTCTTTTATTCGATTTTCTTAAAGCGCCGCTTTTGAGTTTCTCAGAAATATTTTCAATAGTATTCGACATAATTTGCGCACGTCAGTATCTTACAATAAAAACGGAAGAACATATAACTCTCCAATGAATCCAACAAGTCGTTTATACAGAACGAGTGTCTCAATGTACATGCAACGATTCGGTGCGTTTTAAATTGTACAAGTATACGATTCAAACAAACAAAACTGTTACTGCGTTGACTCGGTATAAAATTTAGCAAGCAAGTTGCGGCCCGTACGCTTTACGTTGCTCATGTATAAATCATAGTTCAGTATAAACGAACTCCAAATTCAAGTAGCTCGATTTCTCTGGTACATATTAAATTTTGTTCGAAAAACGGTCAACTCGATTGTTTCTTAAAAAACGAAAGCTAAAATTTGTTTCTTTCCACAACAAATTTACAACAAAAGCTATAGTTAATGCCGTTGTAGCATATTGGATATCTTAATTGTATCAATAAGGTATCAAGTTAGCACTACATACTAATTTTTTTTCGAAAACCGTCAACTCTATTTATTCCAGAAAAACTAAAGCTATAAATTTCCTATTTCCAAAACAAATTTACAAAAAAAAAAAAGCTACAAATTATTCCGTTGTAATATCTTCAATGGCTCACTTCTATCGACAATGGTGGCAAGTTAGCACTACATACCAAATTTTGTTCGAAAAATGCTCAACTCGATTTTATCCAGAAAAGCTAAAAATTTTTTATTTCGCAACAAATTTACAACAAAAAAGCTAAAAAAAAAAATTTCTTTCAACAACAAATTTTCAACAAAAAAGCTACAATTAATGGTCTAATAACATATTGGATATCTCAATTCTATCGATTAGGTGTATGGTGCCAAGGTAGAACTACATACAACAACAAAAATTCTACAATTAATTCCGTAGTGACATTTTCAATATCTCAATTCTATCGACAATGAGGCACAGTGTCAAGTTAGCACTTCATACTAAACTTTAAAAAGCTACAAATTTACAAGTCAAAGCTACAATTAATGGCATAATAAGAATTAAGAAACGAAAGCTAAATTTTTTTTTCTCTTTACAACAAATTTGCAACAAAAATTCAACAATTAATGCCTAGTTAACTTTTCCAATCTCGAAAACTTGACCGACGTAAGCTTTTAGTGCCAGTTTAAACTTAGATCACGTAAACTGCGTTCCTATTTCACCGCTGGGTGACATTTGATTTGCTAATCTTAGTTTAAATTTTAAACCAAATAGTGGGCGCATTTGAACTAAGTTTAAACACAGTCGAATCTAACCGTTCACATAAAAACTGGCCCTTAAAATTGAATTTTTTTCGAAGAACACTTAAATTATCCGTACTCTTTCTTTTTTAAATGTCTTTGATAAATAGCCTCTCTTGTTAAATCGTAAAACTGAGTGTTGCCCAGCAGATTTTGATTCATGTTTTGAATTAATTATGCTTCATACATAAATTTTTATGGTATAATTAACGCTCGTATCTATACTTCCTTTCGCAGTTTAATACTGTTTTTGGATTCCAAAAATGGATACTGCGGGTTTTTCCAAAATACTGCATTTATACTTTCTTTTTGCTGTCTAAATTTTTTAATACACAGTGTTCGCGGGAACACGTTTTAAAAATGCACATTTATACTACTATGTAAAAAAATAGAGATATAAATCCGCATTGCAAACTGTGTTGGAAAATTAAAAAAAAAAAATCTGCAACGAACTTTGTATTCATAATTTTTATACAAATTCCAAGTATGCAGTTTTGTAGCTTATTAACGTGCAAGTTTCAATAGGCTAAGAATTCGCTTTGATTTTTGGTTATTTTTTTTTTTTTTTTGATTTTTTGTTATTTTTAATCAAAGATCAGCGGTGCTTTTTAGACACGTGAAGCTAGAATATTGTTGTTGTGCATCTCTTTTGTCTTTTTTTTAATTTTTGGACAAAGTGAGGAATTTTGATTTCCATGAATAAATGGCTTTTGTTAGACATATCATTTTGTCTCGGGGGTGTACAATAAAGGAATACCTGGTATTATTTGTACCATACCATATACTGTTTTTTGACCGAAAACGAACGTTAGGTATAATGGAAGTGAATTGTACAGTTTTATTAAAATTAATTAAATTAATTCCGAATAAAGTGGAATCATAAACTTTCGTACGCAAAATGCAAACTTTTTATAGGGCGTAGGGGAACATTTACATAATGTTGCCATACATTGAGATAACATTTGCATTGAGAAAAGAAAATGCTATAAGATATGCAAAAAACTAATAGTCCTAATAAAAAGCTGGCATTTAATATGACTGTTGTCCTCCTAAATCCAAATAAATTAAGGGAGAAATAAAAAAAATTTCTTGTAAAATTTATATTTTTTCGCTTAGGATTAAATCGAAATAATATGTAGGAATGTATGTAAAGTTTTTATACACACTTATTGACAAGATAATAGGTGCAAAATACAAAATGATATTGTTTGCCGCTTATATTTATTTATTTACTAGGCGGCCTCGCCACGCGCTGGATGTGTAGATATTAAATAAGATGCGAAATCAGAAAAACATAAGGTGGGCGCAATTTGAAAGATTATTAAATATATATCTGACTACATTTGTTTTATTGACAATTTGAAACACATGTGTGAAGGGTTGCTCACAGTTCGAGTGTGTTATCTTGTTAAAGTTGCCACCTTTTAACTTTAAATTTAAACCGTGAATACTCTCTATCATTTTGAACTTTGCACTATTTTGTCCAAAAATATATATATGTAGATAAAAAGGATCCTACCTTGGCTGTAAAGTAGGCTGCCGTTGTTGTGTGGGCGGTGGCACTTGAGGATGGCCGTAAGCACCCATACCAGAGGCTGGATACGCACCAGTCTGACTTGAAGCTGCACCCCAACCACTTAAGTCACCCATTCCCAAGCTGTGCTGGTCAGTGCCTGTGAGTCCATATATGTTATCCGGTGTTGGTTGGTACGTTGGATATTGAGACTGTTGCTGCAGCGGATGTGGAGCCCGGTGACGTGGCGGATACGCTCCCGGAGGACCCATAGCTCGTGGTGTTGCCGCCGCTGCAGCTGTCGCAGCTGCGGTTGGGTCGTAGCGATAGTAAGGTTCTCTGCAAGGTCAGAGATATGAAAAATGTGATAAAACTAAAAATACTGTATTACATAAGATGTCTTAGCCAAAGAAAATGTTTCCCTGTTTCCCTAAGCAAATCGTAAAGTTTGGCCCACCTCATTAATTCCCCTAAAATATTTCGACTCCATTCAGTCACTCCTGTCGCTAGCCAAAAGTTGAATTTCGAAATTCGAAATGGCGAATTCATAATGGCCGCCGCGTACGCTTAAAATAGTCAGAGTTTAGTTTTTTGTCAGGCATCTTAGCAACACGCTGATGAAATGCTTAAATGTTTTTCCAAAAAATATAAAGTTTGAGATTATTTCCTAGAGAATATATTAGCATGTTTTGCAATAAATGCATATTTCAGCATATTTTGCAGTAAATGCATATTTGCGGCTACTTTGTGCTGCGTTGTTAGGTTTAGAACTAATAATAAAAATTTCTGAAATAATAACAATATAGTAAACATAGCAAGGTAAAACCGTTCTCTCAATTTGTCGGCCATGATTTTTTTTTTGAAGTTTGCCAACATTTTAAAATCATATAAAAGTGAAAATAAAAAATTGAAATTGTTCGAAATTGTTGTTGCTTGAGATGGAAAATGAAAATGTGTGTGTGAGTTTGTGAGTAAATTTAAAAATTAAATTGTTTGGAAACGTCAAGAATTTTAAAAGTGACTCTCAGCGGTTCTACCTTACTATATTTTTATCATGGATAATACTACATATTTATATGTTTCGCTCTTGACAGATGAGTTGTCCCGACGCTGACTCGCCACGGCGCGCCGATATAATTTCGATTGGCAAGCAATTAACAAAGATTTCATCAAACGCAAGTAACTGTGTTTTGTTATGGAAACCTTTATTATTACTAGTACCAGGTTACGCAGCGAGATACAAAACGTGGTTCGGTTACAGGCTACGTATTACTACTACAAGTACCAGGGCAAAGTTACGTAGAGGGAGTCAATTGTCACCTCCTAGGACAACTCCATGTTAAATGCGACAGCAGAAAGCATGGGTGGTAGATTTGCGAGGTACCGGTATTCGACTCCAAAACTCCCGACTAGTACTTTCCGCTGCAGGGTACATATGTATGTATCTACAAACATGCACAGTATGAATTCCTATGTGAAACAATTTGCGAATTAGATTCCATGTACTTTCATACATAGTATGTTTTAAAAACAAATTTAATAAATATGAATTATTAAACATAAATATTTATGTATATACACTTTTATGAAATTTAGAACATTTTAGGTGCTGCAAGTAAAGTTAAAGATATTTTTGGACATGCACATACTACATAAACGAAATTTAAAAGCATATCTTATGGCTTATAATGATTTTAAAAGCATTTTGTGGAGCATATATTTAGAATTTATTGGCATATTTTAGGCGCTTAAAATTTGTTTTTAGGAGCATATTTTGGGTTGCCCTAATTATTACCATCGATCGAGTTCTGATTCATGGAAGATATGTCAGAAATAAGCTCCATGATAATTTTGTTTAAATGAGTCGCTCACGGCACAAATTAGAAATTTTTAAATTAAGTGTGTTTTTTTTTTTTTTAAGAAAATGACGAATGCACGACTTCGAATTTTTGGCCGAACCCGAATCGAACACTCGGCTTTTTTCTTGAAGTTCGGCCGAAACCGAACTGAACCCGAACTTTTTACAGTAAAAATTACATAGCTTGAAGAAATCAGTACTTTTACGCAGTGGAGCACACACCCATTATATTTAGCAGGGACCGAGCATAACAGTTATTGATGAAAACTGTCATGGAAAAATTCACTATGAAGGAAATGTTCTACGACTAAGTCAAATTTGAAAATAAATCTTTATTTGCAAATTTATGCAAAATTAAAAAAAATAACAATCATTTTTGATTTTTATATTTTAAGTCCAAAATAACAATTGTTTTTTATTTTTTTGTATTATGTCTTAGATAACAGTTATTGAAGACTTTTATTTATAACACTCATCAATAAAAATCCTTCAGTGGCTTTTACTTTTAAAAGTCATCAATATAAATCAGTCACCGACTTCTATTTTTTAAATCATTCGTATAAAAGTCATTAACATTTTTCGCAGTTAAGCAGGTGTTGGAAAACAAAAGTTTACTACGACTTCTATAAATGACTTATAAGTATGATTAAAAAAATAAAGGTCAGTGACTGATTTTTATTTATGACTTGTAAATAAAAGTCTTCGATAACTGTTATTTAAGACATATAATTTAAAAATCAAAAATAACTGTTATTTGCAGATTATTTAGATAAAAATCAAAAAGAATCCTTATTTTAGATTTATAGAATAAAAGTCAGAAATAACGGTTATTTAAAGAGTAATTAAATAAAAGTCAAAAAAGAATTGTTTAAGAGCGATTTTTTTAATAAAAGTTGTAACTGTTACGGTCCCTGATATTTACGCTTATAAAATTCCCAAATCGGATTGTTTTAAGCCACTGCATCTGTAAAGATACTGCTTTAGTTAACACTCTAGAGCAGAGGTGGGCAGCCTCGGCAGAGCATTTTTAACCGACTTCCAAAAAAGGAGGAGGTTATCAGTTCGTCGGAATATTTTTTTTTTACGTATGTTACCGCATAACTTTGGACCACGTCAACGGATTTCGATAATTGCATCGGAAAGGTAGTGTCTCAGAGGTGGTCCCATACTAATCTGGTTTAGATCCGATCAGTGGATCTTGAAATATATATATATATTAGACTGTCCCAAAAAACCAACATTGTTTTTTTTTACGCATACCCCCTCATTTCATTGGTGTTATCTTAAAAAAATATCCGAATAAAATTTTATGCAATTCTAACCACGGCAACCCGTACCGACTTGCAGTCAAAGTTATCAGAATAAGCTTGTTGCAGTTCGCGTGTTTTGCTAATTTACTCATTGTACTTCTTTATAAGACGGTATTACTATACTCCCTAGAGTATTAGGACATAATATTTAGTAAATCTGCGTTTTTGGTTTTTGACCTGACAGTCAGGATTTTTTCCAAAGGCCCATAAATTATAATATATTTTCAAAAGTTTACACAAAACATGGGGATATGGGTATCAAATGAAAGAAGAATTCGAAGCAAGATTAACTATAACTTTTGTTTTCAATTATCCTTCTGGAACATGTCAAAAATGTCCTTTAAAAATATTATCCTTCAAGATTTTTAATTTTGAATGAGTTTTGAAGAATCTTAGTTTAATTTAAATCTTATTAATATATACAAGGATACTAAAGGATAAAAATTTCAAAAGATGTTTAGGCCTTCATGCAAAACCAAATGATTTAAAGATCGAACCACCCTAATGTAAAAGTGCATTGACTTGAGCCGACCACACAAACATACTCAGGCATATATACGGCCTACCTTTATTGCTACGCCGTTAGCAATAAATGTATTATTTCCCGTTGTAATAGAATTTCGTTAAGTTTGCCCTCCGCGCAGTTGGCTGCCGGCGGGTAAACTTAACTTTGTCAAAGCGGGACCTTTTCACTTCATTCGAGCTATCAAGGAGACCGGACGACTTCAGCCATCACGCAGCGATACATATTAAAAGGTAATTATATTGTACACCCACTGAGTTATTTGATAATAAAGCCAATTGAAATTCAAAGCTATTATCCACTAATACACTTGGTTGTGTTTCATTTCATTTTCTTTTTTCATTTGACATTGGTGCCACTGCGGGAGTTGCGACCCACTGGTTCACCGATCGTTCATGGTCCAACTACGGCGGAATTCAAAGTAACCATCATTTATATATATAATTAAAAGGTCACGGAAGCACGCCCCAGATTAGACACGGATCGAGCAGACGTCTGTCCGTACAAAATAATAAGGAGCCAAAGGACCGATATACACGGTGCGGCAACAACGCAAAAGCGCTCATATTACCACCAGCTCATCAGAAACCCTACCAACACAGCGACACATAAAGGCGCAAATCTTTCCAGCAAACAGCACAAGTCACCAAAAGTTTAAAAACTAATTACAAAGGTACGTGGTTGTCGTTTCAAGCACATTATTTTATGTATTATTGGTGAAAACGCGATAAATATCGAAAAATTCGCGCACTTAAAAGCCAGTAATAACCGATAGTGGTTTTGTGGAAAATCGTGAACAGTGAATTTCAATTATTAATATAATTTGTCAAAACATTAAACAAAACTTGTGAGCATAGGTACATACATACATACGGGTATGCAAGACAAACACCAGTGCGCGCGACAGCGATTTTAGTAAAAACTTTTCACGTGAGTTGTTTGTGTAATTATTCTTTTAAACAACACTGCAACACACTTTTTTCACTAAGTTTCGGGGCTCAAAATTATTTTCCAATATGTTCAAAATACATATTCAATTCGATGATTTTTGGCTTTCATCACGTTTATTGTATTTAGTTCGAGTTGCATTTTCAATTCTTTACGCACATATGCACATGTATGTATGTACATCAACACTAACACATCACGGAGTTTGATTCTAACCTCACTTGTTATTAATTTGGTTGGCAATTTTGAGTTCACTTTAAATTTTCATCCACAAAATCACTATTCGCGTGCGGCATACAATATTGGACAAATAAGAAGTCACTTCGGAATAAGTAGACTAATAATTCAATTACAATTGAGAGTTGGGTGGCGAGTTTTTAGATTCTGCAATCATAAGAAAAAAGTAAAATATATATATATACTTAAAGATACATACATACGTATAACCATTAAAACGTACATACATATATATATTATTACAAATAAAAGAATATATCTTGATACGTGTGAAGGTACACTAGAAATTCTTGTGTTAAAATCTGGGATTGTGGTGGTCTCTAAGCATTTTTCTCCAGTGAAGTCGTACTTGAATCTTGGTCTTCAGTGGTTTTTTCTGTACTAAATAATACCTGTCAGTTTGCAAAATTTTTTGTTCTGATAAACAAAATGGATAAATTCATAAAATTGACTGATGCTGTGG